TTTTCCTCAGGACCCCCTTTCTATTTATTTTCCTTTGCTGGCTGTAAGACAAAAAGTGGTCCCCTGGCACCCTGAAAGAACATCTTGAGGATAAGCGCCCTCGCGCCAGCCGGGGCTGACACCTACGCAGACGCGAAAGTGAAAGGGGGGAGACCCGGCCCGGCGGGCGGGCGGCCGGCGACGCGGGCGCGCGGGCGCGCGGGCACGCGGCGGGGGGCGAAGGATGGACCCGCGGACCCAGATCGCGGGATTCTCCCGCGCCCGCTGTTCGGCGGCGCCGCCGCCCGCCTCCGCACCCAGGACTCTCCCGAAGTCCCACGCCCCCACCCCAGCCGCACTGATCACCCCCATCAGGGGAGGTGTGTGCGTGCGCGCATGTTCACGCGCACTCACGGGTGTGCGGGGTAACGTTTCTGCCCCAGACTTTCCTACCGCACCTTCACGCATACCCTTAGGTGGAAGACTGCGGGGCTAGGGGAAGAATTGTGAGTGTCACCTCCGCTTACAGGCTCCTCGGCTTGTTGTTCTTTGTAACTCAGTTAAACACCGCGAACGGACCCCACACACCCCTTTTCTGGCTTGACAGTCCTTTTTCTACGGGCTCTGGGGGCCTCCTTTTCCTCCTGGTTCTTTCCCTTTTTCTTCCTGAATAGCTGTGAAAGTTGCTAATCCCTTCCCACACACAGAACCGCGTTAAACACCGAGCTGCGCTGTTAATCACTGCCTTTCTCCAACCACATTCCCGCTGTCCGAAGACTGCGCGTCCCATTGCACACAGTATTGGCACTACTCAGTCTCAGATGGCTCAAGGTAGCATTTTTGGACTCTACAAAACAACCTTTTGTCTGCTTCTTATTTGTGGGAGAGGCTTCTAGATTAATATTTGTGAAGTTCTTAAGGAATATTTTATGTGAGATGAAAATATTTATGTGACTTATTTTCAAAATTAACAATATTTAATAGGTTCAGTGAGCTTTGAAAAGAAACATGAAGAAGTTTACTTTTGTCTGTAGACTGAATTTGGAAATGTGTCAAAAATAAGATAAATTGACATTGATGGATTGATAAATGGATAGAAGGATGGATAGATACGTGACAAAGCGTGTATATCACGCAATAAAAGTGGTAGAATGTAGGTGGTGGATATACAGGTGTTCATTGTAAATTTCCTTCCATTTTTGTATGTTTGAAAAGTTTTCATAATAAAATGTTGGATAAAATACCCACTTACAGTGACCTATATAATGTAAATTCTGTTTACAAAATTGATTAATGAGGCATTTATTATTTCCTTCCTCCTTTACAAAATAATTTACCAGAAAAGTTGCTGACCTGGGCAGTCTCAACACTATTTTAACTAATAATTTTAATTAGAGACAACTTAATCAACTATAGAGTATAGTGCACAGTGGTTATTATAACTGCAACATTTTAGAAATGTAGATTTCCTGTGTTTTTTCTTATCCATTTGACATAACGAAACTATTCTCAAATTTTCATCTTCACTGCTTTCGAAACATTTTGGTATCATAGAGCTAAGATTGAACTTTGAAGCTGATATAGATATTCTTTTGAAACTTTTTCACACCCAGATAGCATGGGCAGGGGGTCCACGTGCCTTTTCTATGGTGTCACGCCCTCTTTCTCCCTTGGGAGAGGTGTAGGTGCTCTTGCAATTGTCAATAGGCAAATTTTTATTTGTTTTGTGATATCTGGGTATTTAAATATTTGTCCAAATGTGTGAGTGATTAAGTTTTCCTCAGGACCCCCTTTCTATTTATTTTCCTTTGCTGGCTGTAAGACAAAAAGTGGTCCCCTGGCACCCTGAAAGAACATCTTGAGGATAAAATCAGAATCTTCCCTCATCTAAAAAGAAGCTGGTTTTACTTGGAATCACCTCACAAGTGATGCCTCAGAG